TAATGTATTGAATGAATCCATAAATATATACTTCAACTAGTTATTCTACATACCAACTAGATATTTTATAAACTAACAATGAGGGTTTAGTTAATGTATTTAAAACTATTATTGAATAAAAGTTTTAATCAAATTACAAATTACAAACAAAATCAAATGTTATAGTATAAGTCAAACAAGCCTTACAATATTATATAAAATATTAATATTAATTTATTTCACATCAATTTATTAGAATAATTATTAAAATCTTAATCAATTTACAAATTAAAAAATCAAATGTTATAGTATAAGTCAAACACACCTTACATTATTTTATAAAATATTAATATTAATTTTTTTTTTCACGTCAATGTATTTGTATATTTTTTTTTTTTAATTTACAATTAGTACAGGAACTTTTTGGGTGGCATTTAGAATTACAAAGTAAATTATTTTTTAAACATATGCACCTTTTTGTGGTGCACTTTTGTTGGCATGTACATTTAAAAAACCCTTGTCCATTACCAATTGATTGGGATTCGGATGCTTTTCGAAGGCAAATATCTACATCTGGAACGTCACTAAGCGTGATAAACTTTTCAGTGCATAAACTAAATTGCGACCTCGCGTAAAGTTGTTTTAGTATACCGTATTTAGTTCCTAAAACAAAACTATTTGAATTATTAATAAATAAATAAAAAAAAAAATGATAAATAAAAAAAATTACCTAAGTGAAAAAATCCGTCGGTTGTTTTTTCTAATACAATTGCAATTATAAATTGTGGATCACATTTTGACCTGTCAACATCTGAAATTTTGACTCGTACGTTACACCATTAAAGAGCAGGTGGATGAAACATATCTGATTGTAGTTTCATGATGGACAAATGCACTTCGAATTGGGAAAAAAGTTTCCAAACACATGGTAGTTTGTTCATTGCATTTCAAACGTGATGATTATTTTTTATCAGGTAAATTTTTAATTTAAAAAGTTCATAACTCATTAAAAATATATTTATTTAGTGTATAATTTTTTATAAATGTACTTATATTTCAATTATTTATGTTTTTATAGATACCCATTTGACTAAACGATATTTGAAAAAAAATGCAGTTCCAACTTGCAATTTACCCAAGTCATCTATTTCAAAACCAATTTGTTTTACAAAAACGGCACAAGCTGAAGCAAGCAAAAGTAGAACTATAAAAAGGGCAACTCAAGTCGTTAAAAGAATTAATTTTTCATCTGAAGAAATTAAAGAAACAATAGATACGGTCAACGATGATGAGGTTCTTAATATAATTAACACTTTAAAAGATAATACTATTCAACCAGAAGCAAATATGTATCAACACAGGTAACAAGTGGTGACTTTAAAACTCAATTATTATTATCATTAATCAATACTGATAAAAAATTATGTACATTAACTGGATTCATTCATATGAACTTCTTAATAGTATAATTGAATCTTCACAAATAAGTAAACTAGTACCTTACAGTAAACAACAAACTTTTTCTTTGGAAGAAAGAGTTATTATGACACTTATGAAAATAAAACAAAATATGTCTTATTCTGTACTTGCAATACGCTCGATTAGTGTGAGTAGAGTAAAAAAGAGAGTTCTAGAACCAGATCCTGCTGGCAGATTCCTATGCTCTCGAGCAGATCCCTGACACACGGCAGCAGATCCCGCCGCCGACGGCAGAGCCCACCACCGGTCGACTACCCCCACCAGCCACCGCCGCCGCGGGCACTCTATGGCCGCCGCCCGCCGCCCGGGGGCGTATTTTGCAAATGTAGGTACGCTCAGAACCGGGTTGCTCTGATTGGTCCAATTTGAATTTGCCGCTATTATTATTATTATTATTATTTTATTATCATATTTTATTAACCATTAATGATAAGAATGTTATACAAATACGGCTTTAATGACAATTATTAGCTTACAAGTATTATTTACGAACTATAAAAAAATAAATTTATATTATAATAATTGAATAATATAAAAAGATAAACAGAGAACATAATGTGAAAATATTATATACAGAAAAAGGTATTTACAATTTTTATCTATACCAATTAGTTTGAAAAACTTAAAAATCATTGGTAATTAATTATATTGTAATTTTCAATATAATATACTATTATAATATATTATGGTAAATGTTTTTAATAATTAATAATTTTATTTTATAATATTATTACTAACATTTAATTTTTTCACATCATAGTCAATGTATGTCAATAGTCTCATTATCCCCAAAAAAAGGGGCCTTTTATTACAATGGAATACAATACATAATATATTATATACTCACTTTAAAAGTTCAATAAATTATTAACAAATTATTAAAAATACAAAACTTGTTATTAGCATTTTATTTTATATTTCAAATAAAAAATTATAAGTAGGTGAACATGAAACTGAAATATATATTGAATATTTATTAAATTTGTTTACATTTAGCGTTTGCTTGATTATTAGTGATACTTTGTACTAAGTTATGTTTACGTTTAACCACTTTCTTTTTATTTTTATTCAAAAGAGAATTTCTTCCTGCAGTACTCTTTTCTGTAGGTGGTCTACCAGGACCAATCCGATGATTACCTTTATATGTTCCTCTTCTTCTAGCCACAGATGTTGGTTGTACTCGGATATTTCTTCCTCGTTTAGAACTAATAATTTTACCAAACAATTACCTATTATACTATTTCATTTTTTCATAAAAAAACATTAATCTTACCTTGAAGAATTATTTATTATAAAATCTACAGCTTGAGATGTTGTATCAATGTTTTTAATTTTTTTTGTAAAAACTGATAAATGTCTTATTGATGTTTCAGATACATCTTGTTGTAGTAATTCACCAAGTCTATTAATTGAGTTAGTAAAATCTTCCCATTTCTCTGTGAATTTGTCATTTAATGACTGATTATTATTCAGAGGTATTGAAGGTCTAATATTTGGATCATTTTCAATATCACCATCTTGTAAATTATTTGAAAAATCTTTATAACATAACTGTAAGTTTGTTTTTTCTCTAGTTGTCTTCAAATTTTCTTTTTCCATAATGGAAGTTTGTGGTGTTGGCAACTCATTCAGATCCTATTAAGTAGTGTTTGAAAAAAATTAATATTTAAAATAAATTTAAAATATGTAATGAAGTACCTCAAAAAATGGTTTTGGAGGGCAATCTCTGATTCCCAGAGCTAATAAGGCAAGTTTATGCCTTTCATTTGAATCAGTTACTGGGCTATTTGGAAATTCAATATCATAATATTGTTTTAATAAAGCTTGGTGTTTACAAAACCCTCCTTGTTTGCCACTGTAACAACTACACCACCCAATAATGGTATTTACATCATAAAACTTTTTGCTATCTTTAGAGCTTGGAACTTTATATAAAAATTCATCAATCTGTAATATAGAATTCGGGTCAACTGATTTCATTTTTGTCAATTGTAATTCATAGTCTTTTTGATTCCTCCTATTGTAAGCAAAATCTAACAAACGATTAATAAAATATTTATCCCAAATTATTGAAATAAACTCAACCAATGCAACAACATTATATGCTTTAGTACGTTCTAAAATAATTTCTTTCAGAATTCTAATTGTTGCCTCTGAATAATTATTGGTTTGATTATTACGAGTTATAAGATTTTCATTTCTATAACTCATTGACCATTCCTGACTTCTTTTTAAATTTTCATTAAAGCGATCTTTGAATGATTGATTTCCTTCCAAATGATTAATTTCATTAACTACATCTTGAAAATCTTCATGGTTCTTAGCGTATACAGCCTAAAAATTGAATTCCTTAATATAAATATAAATCATAAATAATTATTAAATACTTTTCTAAAAAGTTGCATCAACTGTTGCCTGTTAACAGGTAATATATTACTACTAGAAGACATCAACCATCGCCATTCGGCTTGTAAAAAATGAAATATACAGAGAATCTGAGTGGTTTGAGGCCAAATTTCTTGAATTGCCTTTTTTTCAGCCATGGAATCGTCTGTCATTATAATTTTTGGATACTAAATTATGTAAGAAGAAAAAATTTTCAGTAGGTGTATATATAAAAAACAAATTATCACAACATTTTAAATATTTAATAATTATTTTATTCATTATTTTTGAAACCTACTATAAATCATAATTTAAAATTAGTAACTTACCCCATGAGTGATATCAATAAGGGCTAATTCTTTAAGTACATAAATAACTTTTTTTCTCACTAATATAGTTATAAAGAATTAGTTAAAGTTAAACCATACAATAATACTTTGAGAAAAAAAGTTATTTGTTATAATATTAACCTTGTACCTACCTAGTTAAAGAGTTAGTCTTTAATCTCTACCTTCTAGCTATTATGCCATAAGTGTTTTTAAATATGATGAAATCCGATTGTAGATATATTATTAAATTCATTATACATTAATACATAATATGTTTGGTTTTCAATTTATTTATTGTTGAATAATGTACTCAATTATAATTTATATTATTAATATTAATTTGTTATATAATATAATTGTATAATTGTATAATTGTTTCAACTATTTTATTTTATTATAATTTAAAAATTCAGGTTATAACAACAAATATAAGATTATTCAATTTTTTTAACATATTTTATAATTTACATAACTAGTGAAATAAATGGTTAAGTGGAAAATATAAAAAAATTGAGATAAGTGTATAATAACTATAACTGGTATTATTTAGTATAAATAGGTACATATTAGAATAAATATTTATAAAATGAATAATATTGTTTGGAATACATAATAAATATTTAATTACCGTTAATCCATTGAAACATAAGGGAAAATTATCCATTAGCATTTTAAATCCCTTTTCATAGGCCACAGCCGTTTGTTGCTTATGAATTAAAACCCCAATTGGCACTGCACCTCCCTTTGTAGCTGTTAAGAGAACAGTAACAGATGCCATGGACACATCACAGCTAGAAGTTGAATCCATAAATATGATTTCAGAACTATTTTTCAGTTTTTGTGCTCTTTCATTTAATGGTGTTACAACAAGGACTACCCATGGATCTGTTTTATCCATTACAACATGTATGCCTATAAAAATTATAAATATTGACTAGAAAGTATAAACTACTAAGTTTGATGAATTATTAATTCATAAAATGCCTAGTATATAATATTAACTTACCTTAAGTATTATCTTATTTTTTTATTATTTGCACAACACTAATGAATTAAATGTATTATACAGTTAACATTATATTATAAAAAAAATATGTGTCTATCAGTTTTGTAATGAAAATGTTCAATATATTTGTATATATTCAAAGAAGTTTGGTACTTTTTAAACATGTATGTAAATTAATATTTTTTTATATTAATAATAATATTATCTAAAGATTGTATTAAAAATTCAACAGATTTGAAAAAAATATTGAGTAATAATCTCTTCAGGTACAATTTATAAAATATAAAAGTATACAAATCATTTATGGACTATTTTTTCATAGAAACTGACTAAAATATAGTTTAAAAAAGGACCATATAATCTAAAAATAATATTTCCATGGGTTTAATTCCTTATTTAAATGCCACATCAAATAATATTAAACCTATTACACATTACATATTATAGTATATTATAAATATATTATAATATATAAAATAAATTTACAAAATATGTTATAAACAAATAATGTAAGACAATGTTATTATACTACCTAATTATGATACTTAGCCATTTTTATATATTCAAATAATAAATTTATTTATTAATAATCAAATAATAATACCTTGGTTTAAATAATCTGGGATTTTTTCTTCCAATCTCTCAAAAGGTTCCTTAAAACTTCCATAGTTTTCTTCCAAATATTTATGCCACAGTCTATATATAGTCCAAGGTCTTGGGTTCAATGCACCATTAGCCAATGAAACTATATAATTTGGAAGAGTACGAAGTCTAGATATATTCTGTTTCATTGCTTGACTAGGAGAAAGTCCATCAGCAAAATATTTTAGAAAAACAGATTTTACTTCTGGATCAATAAATAATCGCTTTAGAGCATCAGCACTACCACAGTTATGGCTATGAAAAGGATTAATTTTAATAACAGTGTTTAGAGGAGGGTCTCTTTTTAAGTATTCATCATTTTTCTTAGATCCTTTTGTCACAATTTTTATCAAAATATCAATAAATGCATCACATTTTTGGTTTTTTTTACTGCTTTCCACTTTTCTATGTGAACTAAAACTGCACACCCATTTGTTATGCATTACAAACCTATAAAAGTCAATACATTGTAGGATGACTTAAAATAAAAAAATTAGGCACTAAGAATTTTTTACTTTTGGCCCTTCAAATTAGATTTTCATATCCCATTACTATTAGACAATATAAGAAAAGTAATATAGGAAAGTGATAGATTTAACTTTTGAAGCAATTTCACTACTTCAAAGATGATGACAAACAAAAAAAAAATATTTTTTTTTTTTATTTTTTTTTTTTTACTTATAGTTATTAGGTACTTAATACTTATAGGAAAATAAATTATCTCAGCACTCAAATTGGTTATATCCTTACCTAACTATATACTAGGTAATTAAAATTAACAACTTCAATTGAATTAAAATTGATTATACTTTTAATTTAATAAATAAAATATACTTACCGACTACTATTTCCTTTATTCAACCTATTACCTTGTATCCAATAACTATCATCAAATTTTCCAAATTTCCTAATAAAACTTTTAGCATCATCTTTATCATCCATGTATGTACGTAATGTCAATACATTTTTAGAAGATAGACATTCCGAGACAACTAACATAAATGTGGAGCCTTCAAAGTACTCCAATAATGATTTTGTGTATAATGTGTCCTATTCAATACATAATATGACACACATAATATTACTTAATAATATGAACTACTATATAATAATATAATATAATATAATATTGAATGCATTTATTAAATACTAATTTATACACTTAGTAAAATATTTGAATTACCATTATTATTAGTTTAACAATTTGTAGGGTTCTTCGATATTTATTAATACTTACTACCTATAGAAAATAGGTTGTAATGTTTATAAAAATTATAAATAGTATTAATTACAAATTAATTATAATATATAAGAAAAAAAGCGTAACGTTATTAAGTAGTAAGTAGGTACTTATTAGTTATTACTTATTATCATTAAAGGTAAAGATAAAAGACGTAATCTAAATATATCTTTAAATAATTCAAAATTATTATTATTATTGTTATTATTAGCGGCAATTCAAATATAAGTTTATTTAGTTCTTGATAATAAAATAATAATAATAATAATAATAGCGGCAAATTCAAATTGGACCAATCAGAGCAACCCGGTTCTGAGTGTACCTACATTTGCAAAATACGCCCCGGGGCGCATCATTTTTGAAAATGACCCTACTGGTGGATAATAATGTTTTCCAATAAGTAATTTGTTCCAATAAGGTGCTTGATCATGCGAAAATATAGTACTTACGCTGCAAATAATATAACATTAATGAAATTAATATCTTCGCATATGTAAGTATAAAAATTTAATAAAAAGTTTTTAACTGCAGCGTACAGTGAACTTGTTTTCACATAATTATTTAGTTAATTAATTGAAGGGAGATAATTGAATTGAAGGGAGCGCGTAAAACTTCCGAAAATATTTTGGCCGACCAGTATTTTAGCCGAAAAATATTTTATTCGAAAAATATACATTGAGAAAAGTATTTTGTCAGAACTATATTTGATACGAAACCCCCCCCCCCCACCACCTTAGATAATTGTTCTAATAAATGTATTACTAATATACGCAAACTGTAAAAACTGGGTTTAATTTATACTCCCCCCCCCCATTTCAAAATCATGGCTATGCCACTGTGTGGCTTAATGTGTAAGGCAACAATTGGTAAACCAGAGTTAAGTGTCGGTCGAGGTCGCCGCAGGGGTGGTGGGGGGCCATTCCTCCCCGTTTTTTTGACTATGTTTGGATGCTATGTGTGTATATGTATATATTGTACATAAATATATTTATAAATGTACACCTAGCCCTTCCCAGTTGAAAATTCCTGCGGGCGCCCTTAGTTCGGATCTTATTTTTTCAGTCACCCAACTTAAGTTATAAATAATATTTTATTTTATACTAAAACATAGGTACTTTAATTGGTTACCCTAAATATCCCAATGATAAAATAAAATAAGAAATTTAAAAATATTTAGTAACCTAAATACTGTCGAATTTTGATAAATCAATTTTTATCTTATTTTTATCACCTTCTAAAGACGTCTATATGTATAAATTAAACCATTTCTTAAGGGGAAAACCCTAATTAAGCGTTTTGATATTTTGATAGGTACTAATTTTACAGACCTATGTTTTATTACAAAAATGGAAATTTGGCCTTCAGTCTCTGACTATGTAATACATATTGCTTTTTTTTGTTTACTAATCAAGCCTTATTAGCACCAGAATCCTTTATTCGGGTTTCGGGTTTTGTGTGCTAGTTGCAAAAGCAGACAAGTTTGAAAATAACTTTGAAAAAATGGTGGCATCAAATGTTACAAAAAAGTGAACAAACTATATTAAATATTTACATAATTATAAAGTTAGGGCTTTAAAATAGGTATTGTTTTCTAAAAATGATTTAATTACCATAAATAAGCCCACAAAAATGTATCATCTATAAGATTTGTAAAAGGTAAAATATTAAAACAAACCAAAGTATTCAGTATTTTGTAACTATTTGATATTTAAAAAAATATATTTGATAACTTTTATTAAATTATATAATTTATTAAGTTTATTGTTATTGAATGATTTTATTTATAAAATGTATTATTATTCAACCACCTATGTTATTTAATAAGTTTGTTCTTATTATTTATTAGTTTATTGTTATGAGTAAAAAATTATTCTGCACATCTTTGTTCAAAAATATAATAATTATTATTTAACAGAGAAATTGTATAAATTAATAAACTAGCGTTCCTACCTATTACATTGTTTTAAAATATGATTTAAAAATTAAAAAACAATGTTTCCTATTTTTATTAATAATGAACTCTATAGGTCTAGAGATTGGCAAATTTTAAGAAATGTAGATGTATTGAAAGTTTTCTATATTTTTAATATACCTAAGTGGTATAACTTAGAAAATATAAATTATTACTAGGTACCTATGTATTTTCCATTGAAATTTACTAACAATGTGCAAGCTTAAGTATTTAATACCATCCATTTTTCCAATATCTGTACAGTTATAAGCAATTTATACAATTATTAGCTACACATAATCTTAAATGATTAATAATTTTATAATCGTCTTGAAAGGCTAAATTTTGTATATTGAAGACAATGTGTTCAGTTTAAGTTCAAGGAAGTTAGTTTAGTTAATCAGTTTCAAAAACGTACATACACACATACATATTAATATCAATTGTAAATTCATCAGAATAATATTATACGAGTAGTATAAAACTTAAAATTTTGCATTTATTTGCCTAAGATATATATATTATATTTGATGTATAAGGTACATAGTTAGGTACATAACACACAAATATAAGTAATGTACAAATTATAAAACTAAACTTTTAAATATTTATTTAAAAAAATTACCTATATAGCAGAAATTTAAAATAAAATTTAATATACTAGGTTTTGTCATAAGTTTATAGAAGCAAAAAAAAACATTAAAATAGACAAAATATAATTTTAAGCAGTAGGAGCTGAAGAATACATTGTTGAGTAATAGCCAATAGGGATGGGACAGTGAATCATAATACGACTTGTTTATTTGTTTGTAACCGCCACAGACGAGTTCATTCAGTTTTTTCAGAAGAAGTTCATCATTGAATTCAAATTTAACACAATCTATTACAGTGACCCACTTGTAACCTACTGTACAACAGAGTGACACACTTGTCCACCTTTTTTATTATTACGTTTTCCAAAATATATCTAACCACTAAATCCTTTAATATTAGTCCTATTTACATAAAACCTTCATGGGTCGAAGCAGAAGCGTTTTTAGACCATTACCCAATTTGTTAACGTTTTTAAGCTCAGATATTAAGGGGATAAATGTTGAGTTCAAAATTTGAATTTTTCAACAACAACTAAATTTATGTTTTGACAATTTCTCAAACTTCAAATCGAGACGAGTTTTTTTGAGAACATAAATTTGATCTAGAGGTGTCACTGCATTGAACCTCGAAGATTTCAACATGATACAACCCATATTGAAGGAACTAGTTTTTGTAAAATTTAAATTTTTTCAACATCCAATTTTATGTTGTTAGCTCAAATACATATATTAAAGTGAATTGACCTATTATTTTATAGGTTTTAAAATTGTATTCTCATATACGTATCGATTTACATTAATGAATAATGAACTACACGCCCACTAAAATAAGTTTGAAAAAAAGTTCAAAATAATTATTTCTTAAAACGTTATATAGACGTATACCATAAGGAAATGTTTGGTTAGGTAATACGAATATTAACATAATACAACATAATTCAACATTTTTCTACTCCGATTGCGGGCGAAATAATGGTCGTACGTAATTCGACCATATACGTTTTTCAATCCTCGTACGCCAAATGATCAGATTCTAGAATTTCGTAGTGATCAAACGAAAAAAAAAAATCGAAAAAACACGTAAATTCGTAATTTTCCAAGTACAAAAAACACTCGAAAAATCATAACTGCCGAACCAAAAGTCGGATGATCTCGATCTTGGTACCCATCGATACGTCGATAAGTCCTCCATAACGTCCGACTACTAAAACGGCTCGCCGCACCCAAAATTTAAGTTTTCGTACCGAAAACCCCGTAAAACACAAATTTTAAAATGTCGAAGCCCCAAAAGACGGAGGAAAACGGCTCGTATGGTCTCGACACATGACGCCGAATTTGATCACCAACCTCCAAACTATACAAATCTCAAGTTTCGGAAACGTCGTACAAAAACTAAACTTTTTCCAAAATACACCTAGAGGGAGGGTTCGAGGACCCCAGACTCCGGGAGTACGTTTTAGAAGGGCCAAAACCGAAACGTTTGGAACTTATAAGTATAATATTATCTTATGTGAACGTTATCTACAACTTATAGATTTATTGAACTTATAAAACTATTAGTACATATTTATACGTTAGTTCGCATTTGGTAATTACGCCAGCAATATACAACTTTCTATGTCGGTAGTTTCCTAAAGGTTACCTATTCATATAATCACATCGATAGTAATTCTATATAAGAGTGTTAAACATGAACAATTGTTTGTATATTTATGAACTTTAAATTTCAATCATCAAAGCTTATGATGTATACGTTACGAAAATGATTATAACTAAATGTATTTTGTTATAATACAAATGTCTACGTCTATGTCATATGTCTTGAAATTTACTAACGCTGGACAATAGGTATAAACGCGTACTAAATTAGTAAATGACAATGTATATTATAATATTAGGTATGTACTATATTCAGAACTATTGTGGTCGTCTGTTTGTGGATGAAATTAATCCCGCATAAGAGAACGAGAAATGGTGAAATCTAAAGTTTGTCGATGGAGAATTTTATGGAGATTCCATTGAAATGGCCGGTGTAACAAATTTTCCAGTTGTTAAATAGATAGCTTTCAAAAACCATAAAAAAAAACCAAAAAACCATCCTAAATTGTCTTTATCAAATTATTAGATTATAAATGATTATAACGAATTATTAACTAGCATAACCATGGTTCAGGTTTTAGATGGTTAAGCGAAACTCGATTGGGGTCTTGTTTAC